AGAGGGAGCAGCTGATATAGGGTTTGTGTAAAAGAGAGGATGAAAAAGTGTGTAAAAAACCCGCTGCTGCAAACTGATATATTCGAGGCTCGCTCGAGCGAAGGAATGGTGACTCGAGCGACCAGACACAAAGAAACCTCGCTCGAGCCAACAATTCGAAGCTTTAGGTCTGCAACCTAGAAGCACGCTCGAGCGAGGAAACGCTCGCTCGAGCGAAGAAACCCAAAACATAGTCCTCGTTCGCTCGAGTGAAGGAAAGCTTGCTCGAGCCAAGAAACGCAACCTTCAGGTCCGAAACCAGATGCAGACACAAGCTCGAGCGTAAGACTTCTCGCTCGAGCCAGCAGACACACCCCCCCTAACTCTCGCTCGAGCGAAGGAACCCTGGCTCGAGCGAAGGAACTAAAACACAGAGCTCGCTCGAGCGACAAAAGCCTTACTCGAGCGAAGACACCAAAATCTAGGCAGCAACCATTTGTTTCAAAACACACCCAACCTGTTACAAATCTGCCGAACATATCCTAAAACTCAAATACAAAGAATTAAAGGACGGAAATGAAACATATGCAACAGCCGACATCCACGAAACCGAGTTCGAAATACAACAACCAATGAAAGGAAAACCGGGATCGCTATAGCCTCCTCGGTTAGTATTAGTTGGAAAAAAAATTCATTGAAAAAAAAATTAATTAAAAAAAAAATTTGCTAGTAAAATTTTTAAATTTTTGTTTAAAAGCCAACGAAAACTAATTTTTTGAATTTACGTTTTCTCCTCAAATTTACAAACTAAGACAACCATTTATAAACCAAAAAAATTATCAAACAAGTTTTTATGACAATTTTTAAAATTTTTGTAAATATAAATTGAAAACTAAAAACGAAATGGTTACCAAACAGGTCTCAGATGGTAAAAATGTCGTAAAATTAACAAATAATTAAATAAGTTACCAACGTAAGAAATGACTTATCAAAATATTCTTAGGCTATGCATGATTTGATTTTTAGAATTTTTTTTTAAATTAAAAATTAATTTGGTTAAGAAATAAAAAAAAAAAAATTATTTTTTAAACGAAATTATTTTTTATTTTTTATTTTTTAACCAAATTAATTTTTAATTTTTAAAAAAAAAATTCTAAAAATCAAACCATACATAGCCTAAGAATCTTTTGATAAGTCATTTCTTATGTTGGTAACTTATTTAATTATTTGTTAATTTTATGACATTTTTACCATCTGAAGCATGTTTGGTAACCATTTCGTTTTCAGTTTTTAATTTATATTTATAAAAATTTAAAAAACTGTCATAAAAGCTTGTTTGATAATTTTTTTGGTTTATAAATAATTGTCTTAGTTTGTAAATTTGAGGAAAAAACGTAAATTCAAAAAATAAGTTTACTTTGGTTTTTAAACAAAAAATTAAAAATTTTATTAACAAATTTTTTTTTTCAATTAATTTTTTTCCAATGAATTTTTTTTTTCAATGATTTTTTTTTTCCAACTAATACTAACCGAGGTGGCAATTGGTAATATTACTTTAAATCTTAAGGAGGGGATTGTAATTTCTAAAATGTGAGGGGTGTCAATGTAATTTACCCAATGAGGGTAAAATTGGTATTTAAAAAAATTAAAAGGGCTGAGGGGGAATCTGTAATGAAACTTTAAACATCAAGGGGGGAGATATAATTTTCAAAAGGTGAGAGGGGAACTGTAATAAACATAAACCTCAAGAGGTATCAATGTAATTTATCCAAAAGTTATTTTATTAACTTTCTAAGTTTTTATGAAAGGAAGTACAAAAAAAAATTAGAGAGAATGACATGATTACTTATAATGACTTTTTAACTTTTTAATTAAAATATATAATTATCAAAAGAAATCTAAATATTCAACTCAGTTTATGTGCAATTCAAATAACAGCTTCTTCCCATCAACACATTCTATACTAAGGAAGGAGTATTTTTTGTGATGAATTGCATTACAAACACTTTTTCACTTTTAAAATTCAAAAAAAAATAAATTTGGTCCTTAATTGTTTCTAATTTAGGCCAATAACCAACAGAGGTTCAAAATTTGACATAAAATATCAAGTGTACACCACGTAGTGTTCGGAATTTTGATAAAAATAAAATAGAATCATTACTGTTCAGTGTGTTTGATCGTTACAAAATTAAAACAAAATAAATGTTGCTTACTTGATCATTACTCACTCCGTCTCAAAATAACAATTCCTTGTGGGGAATTCAGTTTTTTTGATAGTACAATTATTATATTTTAAAAATATTAATTTTTCAAATTTACTCTTTGATAATATATGTTTTTTAGAATATCAATTGTTATAATTATACTTTTTGTGTTATTAATAAATTTAAAAGAAGACCAAAATAATAAATTTATATTATTTTATTCATTAATTTTTGAAAATAAACTAATATTTGGGATAATAAAAAATAAAATAAGAGATTAATAAATATTTTGAGACGAAAGGAGGTTGTTTCAAGGTTAAGCCGTAAATTACTTTTTCTAACATAATTAATGTTTTTGTAAGCCTATATATTCGTAGTGATATTCTTTGAGATGGTATATATATATAGGGGTGTAAATTTCGCCCGATCCAACCATGTCAACCTTTGCTACAGGCAGCGACGATGATTCATGGGAAGTGGCCTGGTCGCCGTCGGAGTTACGGCAACAGGGGCTTACGTGACATGCTATCCGCTGATCTTTACGTTTTTGAAGCCAAGTCATGGGAATCATTCTCAGTTAGACGATGAAGGTACCAACAACAACAATCACAACAACGATCACAACAACAAAAACTAATAACAGATTTGATTGAAAACCTCCAGATGATTTTCAAAACCTTCAAATCTGGCTCCAATTAGTTCGAAATCCCTGAAAATAAAAACACTTCATCAAAAGCTGTTTAGATCTGTAAAGGGGAGAGAGAGAGAGAGAGAGACGTCAGATTGACTGTGGATGAGTTTGTGATCGTCAGCGATGATAGAGACGGCAGTGGCACTGAGATCGACGATGGATGAGTAGTCGATGATGGAGGTAACTGTGGCGTTGAGATTGGTGAGAGAGATAGAGAGTGTGAGATTGAGATCTGATGAGAGAGAATTTTTTTTTTGATTAAAGAGAGATATCGAACAGTGAGAGAAATAAAAGGGTCGGGCTAGAGAGGTATTTTGGTCATTTTGTAAGAACTTATCCTTATGCACATAATAAATTAAGAAAAATGATTTGTAACTCGAAAATTGACCCCCGAATGGCCCAAATATTGGGTCTGAGACTCTCTTTCTCCATTAGGACTCATACGTACATAGACATTTTCTTTCCCCTCTATCTTTCTTTTCTCTCCTTTCTATCTCTCATACCGAAAGTCACTGAAGGAAATCTGATTATTGTATATTCCAAAGAATGCGCAACATCGTCGGCGGTGGAGATTCCGAAGAGACGTGGACGGTGGTCTAACGAGGTCGGTGGTTAGTGGGGGCCATCGATGAACACCTAAGTCGATAGTAGTCGTCATCGTGTTCCTCAGTTCTGCTGCTGTTGGAGTATATTCCTAATATGAGTTGGGATATTACCCGTATTCGATCCAAAACAATCTCTGTAGGCCGCTTGAGCCTCACTCCCTTTCTTTCAGCTCACTAAAAACTATGGAATGAAATACAGAAAAAATGAATATGAATCTTATAGCGATTCTGGTTTAGACCCAACCCATTTTGCATTATGGATTCGGGTTTCATGGTTTCATATTGTTGTTTATGTCATATTTCCTTTATCTCTTTGAGTTTGGCTATTGGGTTGTATTGGTTATGTTTGAAATAGGTTGGTAGCTTAGTTTTCAAAACTTTTGTTGTCCAGAATTATACCCCTCCACTTGAGTGACACTTCTTGCTCTCGAACGGGATTTTTGTGAACTGGCAGTATGTTTGCAGGTCCGCAAAACTACTGGGAGAGTATATTCTACGCTCGAGCATCGTTTTCTGTGCTCGAACGATCTTGGCTCGAGCGGCCTTTCTTACATTCGAGCATTGGTCTACTGTCTGCAAAACTACTGGGAGCGCGTATTCTACATTTGAGTGTCACTTCATGCGCTCAAGTAGTGTCTCCCTTTTTCTTTGTGTCTTGGCACTCGAGTGTCACTTATTGCTATGACGACCCCGCCTCGTATAATATTTTATATTTGATTAATTATGAAGATTTGGATTTTTAATTAGTCGTTACGTTGACTTAATTTGAAAATTATAAGAATTTTAAAATCTGACCTGTATATGATTCTATTAAAGATTTATTTTGGAATTAGAAATTAAGGGCCCAAATGGCTTAAGGAAGTGAAATTAAGAAATTGAATCAATTTAATTTTTAATTACAGACCCATTTGAGAGTTTAATTAAATACTCGATTCAGTTTAGTAAAATTGAGATTTGATTAATTAGGTCCGAATTAGAGGTAATTAAGTTAATTAAATTGTGAGGATGGAGAATTGTGATTATTACGAATTAAATCTATTTTTGAGATATCCAATTTGAATATGTAAGTTATTAATGAAAATTTTGAGTCTGATAAGAAATTGAAGGCCTAAATGATTTGAGAAACAAAAATTGATGATGTCAATAAGCTTAATTTGATATTCGGAGCTTTTTGAAAATTTGATTAAAAATCTAAATCAGAATGACAAAACTAAATAAAATTAATTGGGCCTTAATTGAAGTCAATTAGATTAATTAATTATGTGGGACTTGTGATTAGTTATGATTAATTAAATCATGATCAAGATTAATTAAAATTAAAAGATGGTTAATTAAGCTAATTAAAATCAAAGTTCAATCTCAATTAAGTATTTTAAGCAAGATTAATTAGTTAAAGAAATAACTAATACACCACCATGGGTTTATATAATAAGACAAGTGTCCCACTACCTTGTAATAAAATAAAATAAAAGATGATGAACTCAATAAGGAGCCTTCATCTGCTGGAAACAAATGATAAAAGAAAGAAAGAGGGGGAGAGCACGGCTGAGAGAAAGAGAGAGAGAGAGACCGAGAGGAAGAAAGAGAAGGGAAGAAGAAGGCTTTGTGGCATATCAAAACTCAAGTTAAAAATTATGGAAAATTCATCTTAAGGTAAGGAATTCCATCCTCTTTCTAGTGTGGTTTAATTAATCTAGACAAAATTGGTTGAAGGCAGATTAGAGAAAATTAAAATAGAGATTTGAGGATTAATTATATAAATTCATAGATTGAGTCTTGCATGTTCAATCAAGTTAGGTTGCAAAATATGAGTTATGATTCTTAAAACTTATCAAGGTTGAGTTTAATTTTAAGAAATATTCTTGAATTGAGTCCTATAAATTACATGCAACAAGACTTATTTTAAGAATTGACCCATACAATGGAGTTATGTTCAATTTATAGAAATTAATTTAGAAATCAATTATGTTGAGTTTGGTTTTTGGTAGTCTTGCATGAATTTGAGTTTCATTTATACATGCATGGACAAATTTTGTAAGTTTTAATACTCTAATGATACATGCATCATAGATTTTGAAGAATTTGGATTAATTCAATCTCATATTTTGAAGAAAGAAATGAAAAGCTTTAGAAAAATTAAATTTATGGAAACTTGGAATTAATCCTAATGTAAGAAAAAATTTTGATTTTATTATGAATATTATGAATTTGTTTGATCCATGCTTGTAATTGAATTTAAAAGTTTTATTCAATTTAAACACATTTTAGAACATTTATGATTATAAACTGAGTTTTTGGTTAAAGATTGAGTTAAGTCGAAATTCTAAGGAATTAATGTTGTAATTCATAAGTTAAGTTTGATTTTGTTATTGTTAATGAAATTGGATTCTATTTTTACATACATGATGAAATTTCAAGAGTTTGGAAAGTCTAATTTATATTTTAAAATTGTGGGTTTGACATAAAGAAAATGAATTAAATCTAAATTCGGACAATTGGAGCATGATTTTGAATAAATGATTTCTAATTGGGAGTGTTTACTAAATTACAATGGTTCTCCATGATTTTGTGCCAAAATACAAGTTTTGAGGCTTTGAATATCAAATTTGAACTTCGAACACAATTCTGGAAATTCTAGAATTCACATTGTCCGCTCGAGCGAGGAAAGTCTCGCTTGAGCGTGAAAATCGAGCTCCCAGAAGTTTTCAAAATTTTACAGTCCGCTCGAGCGACCAAAGTAGCGCTCGAGCGAGGACCCTATTTTCATCAAATTTTGACTAACTCTTTTAAATGCATAATTGCATCCTCATGACATTCTAAGTATTCTTAGGCACCAATTGGACTCAGATAGTCAGAGAATGAAGTAGAAACACATAAAGAGAGTTGAATTAAAATGAAATGAATATTGAATGGTGCTATTATTGTGTTTTGTAATGTGATTTGTTTAGGTGGACGTCTGAGGCCTTATATCAACTTAACCCACTGTGAGTAATAGCCTTATAAAGATATGTTCAAATTATCTTTACTTTCAGAAATGTTATTGCTATCAAAATGGATATGTGATTTGATTGAATGAATTCTTAAAACGATTTGAAAATTGATAACATGGCTTATTGAAATGTTCTGTCCTTTAATGAATGAAGTTCCATTTTGAAACGATATTGTGGCATCCATTGGCTATAGGCCCTTGCCTGGGGGTAACAATACCATGGCTATAGGCCCTTGCCTGGAGGTAACAATACCATGGCTTTTGGATTGTGACATACGGTTCGTTATTACTTCATGGATGTACCACATAATTTAACATTGAAAGATCTTAATGATGAAGTTTACGAATTAATGAAAATGCTATCGCGAATGGTTTTTATTATTGCAAGGGATTAATGTGATGGCTAATCGAATTGTTTTGCCTATTGAAATGGATTGTTTCGGGAAAATGAAATATATGTTTTGGTAAGGGATTTGGTATGGAAAATGTTTCGTTATAAATTTGATATATTATGGAAAATGCCTACCTTCAAAAATGATTTAAGAATCGTTTCAAAATTGTAAAACAGGTTTTTGTATTATCATTGAACTTCATTCATTTGACCTCTTTATTCTGTTATTACTCGCTAGGCTTTAGCTCATTATTTATATGCATATGGAGGTGAGCAAACTAAGCAACAAGGATTGAGGAAGCCTCGGAGTCTACCTGTGTCAGCCTTTTAAAGAGCTTTCGGAATGGAGCAAGTTAGGCTCGAGTAGAGCCAAGTAAACCAGCCCTTAGCTTTGTCAGAGCTTTGAATTTTACTGAGTCTTAAATGTATATGTGTGTGAGATACATAAGATTTGTATATAAATTATTATTGTGTTTAAATGTTTTAATTATTTTAGTCATCATGTATGCACAAGCTCAATGGATATTGTTATTATTGTTTTGCTTCCGCTTTAGGCCCCGATATGATTATAAATATTTTGAAATTTTGTCTTTGAGGCCAAAGGTAATCTTGGATTAGTGGCCAGTTACGACGCTAAACCTATAGGGGCGGGTTTGGGTCGTGAAAATTGCGCTCGAGCTAAACAACTTATTGTGTTTGAACGCTCGAGCGTCACTTTTTGCGCTTGAGCAGACTATGCGTATATCAGTTTGTAAAAAGGTCATTTCACATCACTTTTTCATATCTCTCTCTCTTTCTCTAAAACATTTCAAAACCCTAGATCTAGTGTTTCTCTCTCCAAAACTCCCTCTCTCTTTACTTTTTCACCTAGATTTAGTGGTTTCTCTACCCTTGTGCCTTTGTTAAAAAGGTAGAGCATCTCAAGGGCAATATTCTCATTCAATTAGAGTTGGATTTCGGCTTCATCCGAGTTCTTCCCTTGCTTTGTTCGTCTTCTAGCTTTGAGGTAGGGATTTTCTTTACTCCTGTATGACTCTTAACATAGTTATTTGTTTTGTATAAACATTATTGTGAATTTGAAGGATATTGAACAAATCTATGAATTTGGTTTAAAAGAGGGGTTTTCAAATGGATGTGTTGAAAATGGGTATGGGAGTGAATATGAGATTGTGTGTAGTAAAATGGTTGATTTTGACACTTGGGTTGGATTTTGGAAGAGAGAGGAGTTTGCTCTAAAATGTCTTAAACATTTGTTTTGTACAATAAATAGAATTGGTTTTGAAAATGTGAAATTAGATAGATGGTTATATAAATGGTGGAGTTGGATATGTATTATCTCTCACCTATGGAAATTTAGATAGTTTATTTATTTTGGAGATTGTATATCTGTTTAGAAATATCTATTTTGGGTTATCGGTGGAAGATAGCTATGAGTGTTGTAGAATTTGCATGAGGACTAGGCAAATTGAAACTAATCTCTCATCCGTTGTCATTAAATATGACTATGTCTTTAATACATTGTAAATGTATGATATTTGAGTAAAGAAAGGGGATATAATCCACTGAATTAAGTTGGTTTGTGTGTTCAAGGTAAAAGTCTCAAAAATTGCACGTATACATAGGTGCTGATTCTTGTAACAATTCCGACCTCTGATTAACGTTAATCTATAATTCAATACGCGTAATAAGTAATTAAGATAAAATTCTAGATTATTTGCATATGTGTTACATTATTTGTGTTTCTATTTGTTTATCGTAGGAATATCTGTTTGAAATTCTGTTATATTTTGCGAATCAAAGGCCTCATTGGCATCCGACCATGAAATTGACTTGGTATATGTGTTATTTGGCATTTTTAGAACATTATAGTAAGTTCAATTGAAATTCGATTTAGAACGAATAAAATAGAATAAAGCTTCATTAGTTGAGCCTATATAAGGCACAAGTGAGCTCTTGATTACACTTTACACACTCATGCCCTCATCGCTTGAGCCTACAAACGTAGAGAGAGAGAGAGAAGAGAAGATTGAGCCCATCTTAGGAGAATTACAAGAGAATTTGGAGGGTTTGGCTTGAGACTTCAAACAATTGACCATTGAAGGTAAGAATTCAACCTTCTAGCTTTGGGATTGAGTCACTTAGCACATGAATTCAAAAAATTGAGTGATACAGTGCAAGAATTGAACTTAGATGGTTGACTATAGAAGTTTATCATGCATGCATGCATATATATATATATATCATGGCATTTTTGAGTTTGATTCTCAAGAATTTCCACATGCATGTCTATATCTTTGTTTTGTTTAAGGAATTCAACAAGTTTTTGATCTAAACATCTCATTTGCTTATGATTTGGAAACTTAGAGCTTAAATCACTCTATGCATGTCATATTCATGTTATGTTTTTACAATTTAAGCTTGAGTTTGTATAATTGACATTCTTATGGGCCTTGATTTCATAAAATGATCCTTACTTCTTTATGTTTTCCAAGTTTAGACTTGTTTTCTCAAGTTTTGGGGCCCAAGAGTTGTGTTTTGAAGGGTTGAATTTGAGTTTTGAGCTGAGAAGAGCAATCTGGAAATTTCAGAATTTTGCTTTCCGCTCGAGCGTCAGGATCTGCGCTCGAGCGACCACTTTGTGATCTTACACTTTCGCTCGAGCGACTAGAAGTCCGCTCGAGTGTAAAATGCGAGCTCCCAGAAGTTTCATGTTTTTACAAATCGCTCGAGCGATAAGAATTGCGCTCAAGCGAAGACCTGAGTCTCACGCTCGAGCGATCGTCGAGCGTCTGTCGAGCGTGAAAATCACACAACCAGTACTTTTTCAAAGTTTGCAGACCGGTCGAGCGAAGAAAGTTGCACTCGAGTGTCCCCTCTTATGTTTGCATGTCCGCTCGAGCGAAGGAAGTTGTGCTCGAGCGGGACCCTTGTTTCCAACATTTTTGATCAAGTGTTTTCAAATGCATTTTTGCATCCTCATTCCATCCTAGGAATTCCTAGGCCAAGATTAAGGCACAATAATGAGGATAAAAGTATAAACACACCAAGATAAGAAAGAACCAAGTTAATGTTTCTGGGTGTGTAATTCAATATTTATTCGTTCTGTACCTGTGTAGGTCACGCACCACAAGATATCTGAATTGCCTACTTTATTCGTCTACTTGGAGCTATCTGTTATTTGTGAGTAATAACTTAGTAAAGCTATGTTCAAGTTAAATTATTTTCTATATATAGAATAAGATCTGTTCTATGAAATGCTATGTTTTGTACTATGAATGATTGTCCAACTTTGACAAATATTCGTGGCATTTATGTTGTGATTCAAGTATGCTATTTGTACTCGGATTGAAGGTTCCTTATGGAGTTGACAAGTTATCTGCACCTGGTTGGAGGTTCCTATATGGAACTGACAAGTTATCTGTCCCCAATCTGGTGGTTCCTTTATGGAACTGACAAGTTATCTGTACCCGGTCGGAGGTTCCTCTATGGAACTGAAAAGTATGATCTAGGATACTCTATATGTGATCTGTTAGCGCTAATGGATGTACTATGTAAGATTAAGCATGAATTCTGATTTCTGTATATGCTCTGAACAAGAATACGAATGTAAATTTGTCTTTGATATGAACTTTGGTTTCTGAATTAGTTTTGGGACATCATTCATTTAACCCTTTACTCTGTTATTATTCACTGGGTTCTCGCTCACTATTTATTTATCATGTATGTAGGTGACTAGGCTCGTGACCAGGCTTAAGATGATACCTGAAGAATTTTGGGTTTGTCAGCCACCTTTTGCGCCTCCTGAGGAGGTTCCGGATTAAGTCAAGTCTTGTGGCTATGTTTTGTGAATATTTAAGACTTTGTTTCTTTTGGCTTACGAACAAAATTTTTGTTTATATGTACATGGGATGACGTATAACTTCTGTACCTTTATGACGTCATATGTATGCTTTTAAATTTAAAATTATATGTCCCATGTATGTCTGCACAGCTCGATGGACTATGTACATTTATATATATTTGCTTCCGCAGCCCCTAATTATATGTTATTTTGTTCAAAGGCCATGGGTAAACCGAGGATTATTGGCCGGTTACGACGCTAAACCTACAAGGACGGGGTTGATCCGTGACAGAGTGGTATCAGAGCACGTGTTCTACCGTACATACGAGTCTATACGAGGTTAGGATGTCCTGGTAAGAAGTAAGGGCATTCCATCTTCATGTGTGAGTGTGTGTTCATTAAAAGTGAAAATTGAATCTAACCATGATCATATGACATTGAAACAAATGATCTGAATACTGTGAAAAGAACTATTTGCCTTTGTTTATAGTGTTCTATTTACCTATAGTAAATGGAAAATACAAGAAGTAGTGGGACAGCTGAATCATCTAAGGCTCGAATGAGCCGCATGGAACAAATGCTTGTAGCTTTAACTGAGGCAATGACTTAACAACAGAGGCAACAACCCTTACCTCCCTCGCCCTCACCGGTACAAGTTGAACCAAATAACAATGATATTATTAACTTACCCAGAAGTTCATGAAAATGAAACTACCAACTTTCTTAGGTGGTATTGATCCATTGAAGGCAGAAACATGGTTGCTTGAGATGGAAAAATCATTTGAGGTCTTTCCTTGCTGTGAGACTCAAAAGGTTCTTTTGGCCACCTACACCTTAAAAGATGAAGCCCGTAGATGGTGGTTGCTAATTCGAAGTAGTAATGGGAATATGACATGGGCTCGTTTCAATGAGATCTTTTATGATAAATACTTTCCTCAATGCTTCTAGGATCAAAAAGTTTCTAAATTCCAAGAACTCAAACAAGGCAGGATGTCAGTGGCCGAGTATGAGGCCAAGTTTACTGAATTGGCTCGATTTGCTTCACATATGGTGGATACTGATTACAAGAAGGCACGAAAATTTGAAGGTGGTTTGGATTTGAAACTGTTTGACCAAGTAGGCGTCCTGAAATTGCCTACTTATGTGATAGTTTTAGACAGAGCAATAATGACAGAAGTCACCTTGGTAGGAATGAGACAAGCCAAGGCACCAATAACAGAATGGAAAAGCAAAAGGTCTGGACCCAATTTTCGGAACGGCCGTTCATTCTTTTTGAACAAAAAGCAAAATATTGGATCTTCAAACAGTTCAAGTCAAAGCAATGGGTCTACGCCAACTTATTCAGAATGTGGAAGGATGTAATGCCCTCAAAATAATAACTTAAAACCCATCAATAAAGACATGCATTAGTAATAAAGATTAACATTCTTCTATTCATCAGAGTTTCATTTACAAAAGGTATTACATGTTAACGACAAAAGCAAATGCCCTAAAGGCTTACAGCTTTCCAAGTTAACACTTGGTTACAACAAAGAGTACTAACTCATTTACACATTAAGCCCTTGGCTTGAATATACATGTAATACATCAAAAATAAACAACAAAAGTGTGTCCGCCTCTAGCCTTCCAAGCTATGTCCTTGGAGGTGGCATGCTACCTGTACCTGAAAATGATATTCCCATATAGGGTGAGCCACAGCCCAGTAGAAATACACTAAACCAAATATGAACAATGACTAAAAGATTAGTAGTTGATAGATGGTCAACACTGATACTTTCCCTTATCACACTTTACAGTTTCATGACATACAAGACCATATTACAGTCCATTTTCCAATTCTTTTAAATTCTCAATTTATAACCATGGCTCAGAACCTGGCCAAACAACTCCATATGAGACAGAAAACTCATATCAAACACTTCCATTTCAATATTAGATAAGCATACAAGCTATATCACACAACAACAGATAAGCATATAAGCTATATCATCACTTCCACAGATATGCTATGAGCCACTATCACACTTCCAATGACAAGCATATGAGCTCTGTTCAACACATTATAGATAAGCATATGAGCTCTATCTATGGAGTCCATCCCCTATCTCCTCCCAACACATCCGGTTTAGAGGTCTATCCCCTATCTTCCCTAAACCGTGGAGTACATCCCCTATCTCCTCCAACACAACACAATGCATATAAACAACAATTATACACATTCATCACACAATACATAAATTTAATGTATTCTCTCAATCGTCAATCTCAATGACACATTCCAGTGATTAGTTTCAGTTTGCCTAATCATCATGCATTGTCTACAACAATCACGACTATCCTCCACCGATAGCCCAAAGCAGTTATTTCTATACAGAAAATAAATGCAACAATGGATATATAATCAACATTCCAACTAGGGTGAGTGATAAATAATCCAAACTACACCCTTTTTCCCATGACTTTCCCAAATCAATTCTTCATGTCTCATAATTAATTATGCAAATTAATTAACCAATGTAATTAGGGCATTTCCATAATTCACATTACAACCCTTAGGTTCATTTTCATTAATGTCTCAACATTAATTCCACTTTCTCATGCCCAACATGCATCTAGGTTTTATATAAATAAAAACCCAATTTTTATAAAATTACATAAGGGCCCCAAACTTTTACCAAACTACCAAACCACACCCAACATCTCAAAATACCAAAATTTAAAGACAAAGTTCAAGAAAGGAGTAGGTTATCCCTACCTCAAAGTTTGAGCTCAATGGAGATGAAGACTAAAACCAAAATGCTCCAAATTCTGAAATTTTTCAGATTAAAATGACGCCCTCGACGATCAACACAACTTTTTACAAAGGCCGAAGAGAAGGAGGACACTCTAACTAGATCAAACCCTAGAGAGAAGGAGTATCTAGAGAGAGAGACTCTCAAAAGTGGTTTTTAGAAAAAGTAAGAGAGAGAAGAAGAGCAAAAAGTGATTTGAAATCACCCAGCGGATAGCTCAAATACGTATGGCCCGCTCGAGCGGAGAACACGACGCTCGAGGCGCCAAGAACAAACTCTGGACACGCTCGAGCGCAATAAAGCGCCCGCTCGAGCGCCAAGACACAGGAATAAAGCACTTTCCGCTCGAGCGTGAAAACCCAGTCCGCTCGAGCGCAGATTTCACCTCCCAGAACTTACACCCAGAAAGTACTACCCGCTCGAGCGCCAAACGACCCGCTCGAGCGCCACCGCGCTCGAGCGTAAAACAAACCCGTCGAGCGCAGAAATCACATCTGCAGAAGTTTGGCAAGGAACCCGAAATACTGGAGGTGTGCAATACCCGCTCGAGCGCAAGAAGGCCCGCTCGAGCGGAACGCCTAAAAACTGAACAACAAGGAATTGAAACCAAGGCCTAACCAACCTGTAACAACCCTGTTCAAAACATCCTAAAACTCAATCATGTGGAATTAAAGGACACAACAAGATAAATACTACTATCAACTTCACGGAACCGAGTTCGGAACATAACAGAACAGTAGAGAGATAACCGGGATCGCTATAAAGGAAGTATAAAGGTACGTGTCATTGTGCATCGGGTGCGTGTTTCCGGTGTGGCAAGACTAGTCACATGATTAGAGACTGTCCAATGAGGTTCAATAATGCTAACCATCCTGTAGCGAGTTCATCCGGATCCATTCCTGCAACGAAGACCAATGCAAGAACAAATACTAGAGGTAATACCGGGAGTGAGACACTAAGGCAATGGAGAGTGTTTGCACTAGTGCCTGGGGATGTACAGAATACTGAGTCAGTGGTGTCAGGTATAATCCTTATTTGTGTTCATAATGCCTTTGTACTGATTGATTCTGGTTCTACGCATTCATTTGTATCGCATGCTTTTTCTCGAAAATTAACTAGACCGTTAGAACCTCTGAATTGCATGCTATTTATGTCTACACCATTTGGAAATTCTATGATGTGTACTTATGTATATCCAGCATGTGATATTATGATTGGTTATATGACATTGTATATTGATTTACTGCCTTTGAGCATTGATCACTTTGATTGTATATTGGGCATGGATTGGTTGACGAAATATTGTGCCACTATTGATTGTGTGAATAAAATCGTCATGTTTAAACCACCTGGTATGCCCGAATTTGTTTTCACTGGGAATGGAGTAGTTCCTTCGCCGTACTTGATTTCATATATGAAAGTCAGGAAATTTTTAAGAAAATGTTGTCAAGGCTACTTGTGTTATGTGTTGACTATATCTTCGAAAAGTGTTAATGTGGACACAATTCCTGTGGTTTGAGAAATTCCTGATGTATTTCCTAATGACATACCTGGAGAGTTAATTGTTAGGGAAATCGAGTTTACTATTGATGGTGTACCTGGGATACAATCGATTTCTAAAACTCGAAAGTCCAACTCCAAGAACTTTTAGACAAGAAATTCATCCGTCCGAGCACGTCACCTTGGGGTGCTCCAGTTTTGTTTGTAAAGAAGAAGGATGGTCTTTGAGATTATTTATAGATTATCATGAATTGAATAAAGTGACCGTGAAGAACAAATACCCACTACCCCGAATAGATGACCTATTTGACCACCTCCAGGGAGCCTAAGTGTTTCTTAAAATTGACCTTAGATCCGGATATCACCAGTTAAAGGTTAAGGTAGATGACGTAGAGAAAACTGCACTCAAAACTAGATATGGGCATTATAAATTTTTGGTAATGCCATTTGGAGTAACTAATGCACCTGCGGCATTCATGGATTTAATGAATAGAATATTCAAACAATTTCTAGATGAATTTATTGTTGTCTTTATTGATGATATACTGATTTACTCCAAAAGTAGGGAAGAGCATGAGAACCATTTGCGAACTACTTTACAGACTTTGAGAGAAAAGAAACTGCATGCAAAATTATCCAAATGTGAATTTTAGCTTGACAACGTGGCATTTTTAGGACATGTAATCAGCAAGGACGGTATCTTTGTTACCCCTCAGAAAATTGAAGCCATTGTGGACTGGCCAAGACCAACTAATGTGTCAGAAGTGAGAAGTTTTCTGGGACTTGTAAGTTATTATCGCAGATTTGTGAAGGATTTTTCAAAACTTGCTATGCCATTAACGCAATTGACATAGAAGAATGTACTGTTTGATTGAACCGATTAGTAGGAAT